GCTCATCATTAGAATCTCAGAAGCACCCCTGCCCTGTTAATCCCTTCCAAATGCCACCTACCCAGTTCCCCAAGGTGACCATTATCGTGTCTGCTAATGCTGGAGATGAGTTTTTCCTGTTTTTGATCTTCATATAAATGGAAGCATATAGTACATACTGAGTTCAGGATGCCAGATACAAAACAGTATGTTCGTGAGATTCATCATTTCACACTCAAGTGTCTCTTTTACAATCCCATTTCATTATCTTTCTGTACTGCCTTTTAGAACTACCTTTCAGTTCACCATAATTTGCTTTTTTTTTGGGGGGGGTGCCAATTCTGCACTTTAACCTATTCATATTGTAAGATTTCTATATTTTTTCACTTACTGAAGTTCTATTTGATTCTCTTTCAAATCTGCTTGTTCTTTTTTGGAGTGTCTTGTTCTGTGTTCTTGATTCCTTGATTTTATACAATTTTTTTCTGATAATTTCTATCCAATAGTTTTACTTAAATTCCTTAAAGTCTAATCCTGTGGTTTACTATGTCTGCTGACATTCACTCAGGTGTAATCTGTAATTCTGGATTGTGAGCTCATTTTCAGCAGAACTTCTTTCTGTAGGAATTCTGTGCTGCATTGGTTGAGGATGTCTCTCTCAAGAGAAGTTTAGCATTTGCTTCTGCCATTTCCTTTAGGGGTAACCAGCCTAGTACACTTATGTTAATTTCTCAACTTGAGAATTTCTGAAACAGAGTATAAGTTTAAACCCCAAACTTGCATGAGGTGGGGCTTTTCTTCCACCCAGATTCTGGTCTGTGGCAGATAAGCTTGTTTTCCTTCCTTACACTAGTGGGTCACCTTTTTCTACTCTAATTTAATTTAACTTTTTTTTCCTACTGAGGATGCAGTCCTTTGAAAGTGCTGGCTTACTCTGAATGCAGGTCTCAGTTCCAACTTCCCATTACTCAAGAAGCAACATTTCCAGGGTTTGCTGGCATTGAAACCCAAGCCCCCAGTTTCCCCAGATTAGACAGTGTTAACTCACACACTAGCACTATGATTATCAGGTCCTTGTTTATTGGCTGGGAGGTGAAGGACACCCAATGTCTGGGGACATCTGTTACCTTGAAAAGGATGTTTGGTATATTTTACACAGCAAATAATAGGTGCTCATTAAATATTTTTTGAATGAATGAAATATAATTAAGTTGTATTTATAGTACTAATAGAGCCTATGATATTTAGATTTAAAATAATTTAAATTTAAAATAATTTAAACAATCTTCAAATAGATACATGCATACAGTTCCAAATACAGAAGTCATTAAAGGGTTTACAGGAAAACACTTTTATCCTGTGCTTGTATTCTAGCGCCACACTTCTTCCCTTAGGCAACCAACATTCACTTTTTGTGTATCATTCCATTTACTAGCAAATGTGTACAGATATATTCATGGCAGCACAGTATATGCACTGTTCTGCACCTTATTCCTTTCACTTAACAATATATCTTAGAGATTTCCCCATATCAGTACATAAAGAATATACAGCTTATTTTGAAGCCAGTCAGAAAGACCTTTGAGGGACTTCCCTGGCGGTCCAGTGGTTAAGACTTCATGCTTCTAATGCAGGGGGCGTGGGTGTGATCCCTGGTCAGGGAACTAAGATCCCACACACCGCACGGTGCAGCCAAAAAAAAAAAAAAAAAAAAAAAATTCCCAACCCTGCTGCTATACAGAAATGAAGTTTACACATAACAAACTTAAATGGACACATTCCCACATCTGTAAAGGCATTCACCCCTAACAGTTAACCAGGGGTGACAGAGTGACTCCTCTACATTCTCAAGGGCATATTTAGTATGGTTTAACTGTTTCTACAGTTTCTGGGTGGAGAAATGAAAGGAAAACACAAAACATGCCACAGAGAAGGCACTAAAAAATGTCTAATGAGTGGATGAAAGAAGGAATGAGGGGATGAAAATAAGAACTGATTTAGCACAGCACGTGGTTGCATTGGCGGAGTTGTCTTTCTAAGCCGAGCAGTGAACTCTGGACCTTATGGCAAGTATATTGAAATAAAAAGTTTGCCTGGTTTCTTGAAGCCAGGCATCAGGAAGAAGGCGCAGCCCTGAATTTTAGGCTGAGGGCCTCACAACCACTGTTGAAGAGTTTCCTCTCTTCCCTTTCAGATTATCTGTGGTTGTTCGACTTACGCCAAGTTCAAACAGCTAGGGAGGTAGCTGAGAAACGTTTTTTCCGGGGTCGAAAATTAGAGTTAAGAGTAGCCAGCATTTGGTGATGTCAGAGGAGGTGTCTGACAGAATTCTATAAACACCTTTGCAGAGTGAGAGATGTGAGTGCTGTGGAAGGAGGCAGGGGAAGGCATTTGTTTTTCTCTCCTTTCCTGGTAAATCTAGAGATATGGGTTTGAATCTCTGGCTCCCTTAGGTAAGTTTATTAACTTCTTTGAGTTTTGATTTCCTCGTTTATAAACTGGGGAAAACAATGATTACTTCGGAGGGCTGTTTATAGAAAGGAGCCTAGTGATTACCTGTATACTGTGATAGATATGCTTTTTTTTTTTTTTTTTGGCCGCCTTGGGTCTTTGCTGCTGCACGCGGGCTTTCTCTAGTTGCAGCGAGTGGGGGCTACTCTTTGTCGTGGTGCGCGGGCTTCTCATTGTGGTGGCTTCTCTTGTTGCGGAGCACAGGCTCTAGGTGTGCCGGCTTCAGTAGTTGCAGCATGCGGGCTCAGTAGCTGTGGCGCATGGGCTCTAGAGCACAGGCTCAGTAGTTGTGTAGCACGCGCTTAGCTGCTCCGCGGCATGTGGGATCTTCCCAGACCAGGGATTGAACCCATGTCCCCTGCAATGGCAGGCGGATTCTTAAGCACCGCGCCACCAGGGGAGTCCTGGATACACACATTTTTAACGGCACACCTTTCAAAGGCATTTGGTAACACAGAATATACACGTATGCATATATGTGTGTATATATATGCAATTTAAATTAACTATTTTAAGTACAGAATACAGAGGAATATAAAGGCTAATTAAACAAGTTTTTGGCTATTACAAGTAATGCTGCAATACATGTTCTTAATTATGTCTCATTATATACATTTGGGGGAGTATTTCTAGGGAATATTCTAGAAGTGAAATTGCTGGATTGTATGGTATGTGTACCTTCGACTTCACTAGACTTTGCCAAATTCATCTCCAAAGTGATTGCAACAGTTGACACTCACAACAGCAATGTACGAGAGTTCTTGTTCCTCTACATCCTAATACTAATCTTTGTAAATGTTTACATGTTGCCAATCTGTGTGAAGTTATATCTAAATGTGTTAACCTGCATTCCCTGATTATCGTTGGGAGACAGTTCTCCAAGGGACTCTCATGTTTCTGCACCCCTTGTGAGCAGAGGTAATGACAGCTTTTATTCTGGACTATCTTTCCAAAAATGTTTATATAGTTAACAGTCTTCAACAACAGAGGTACTGTTTCTTTCCAGAGTGGAAGGCAGGTTTGTTTATTGTCCAGTATAATAAACATATGTGTTTTCCAGAGCAAAGGTTGAGCAGGTCTTCTGGCAGCTTATTATAAAAGACTAGAGTTCCCTAAGCTTAGAATTTCTAAGCTATGACACACTATGTGTGCAGGACCTACCTGGGCTTTTCTTCATAGCTCCTGTGGGACTCAAGGGGAAATAACACAAACACAAAGCTCACGTTGCTTGCTATGCTGTGAATAATAGTCTTTTGTCTCTGATCCATGAGTTGTGTGTCTTTTGCCAGCATCCATAAGACTGTATCAAGCTAATTTGTTAGTCTGCAAGCAGAGTACAGTATCAGACTATTCATAGTTCTTGAAAGTTATTGGTGAAGGTGAGCATCTTGTTTATCGGTTATTTGGCTCTTCCCATTTGTGAGCTGACTGTCTGTTTTTTGGAGTCTATTTTTTCCATTTGATTGTCTTTTTAAAAATAAATTTATTTATTTTATTTATTTATTTTTGGTTGTGTTGGGTCTTCATTGCTGCACATGGGCTTTCTCTAGTTGTGGTGAGCGGGAGCTACTCTTCGTTGTGGTGCGCGGGCTTCTCATTGCAGTAGCTTCTCTTGTTGCGGAGCACAGGCTCTAGGCACGGGCTTCAGTAGTTGTGGTGCACGGGCTCAGTAGCTGTGGCTTGTGGGCTCTAGAGCGCAGGCTCAGTGGTTATGGCACATGGGCTTAGTTGCTCTCCAGCATGTGGGATCTTCCCGGACCAGGGCTCAAACCTGTGTCCCCTGTGTTGGCAGGTAGGTTCTTAACTGCTGCGCCACCAGGGAAGCCCTGATTGTCTTTCTTACTGACTGGGAGATGTTCTTGATATATTCTGGTTTAAATATTGATGGCTGTCTTTTATTCAACCATATTCACACCCAAATAGATTAACAGTAACAACACTTTTTCTGGTACTTTACAGTTTACAAAATACTTCAATATCTTTTACTTCACTGAAATTACCCAGTAGCTCTTCGAGAGCCATATTATTTCCATTACAGATTATCCTCTATTTTACAGATTACTTTAGTGAAGATTAGTTAACCACGCTAATCAGTTAATAGGGGAAATAAGTTAAAAAATAAAATCTATTTTTCTTCAACTACATCAAGAAAGCATTTCTTATAGGAGAGATTCTAGCCCCTAAATGACAGTGATTAGCATCTTACTTGTCACTGACAGTAGCAAGAATGAAATAATAAATTTTCAAAAGGAGATTGGAGGAGCCTCCATTTCTGTTGATTGTATAGAAATGCTCAATTTACTGTGAATGTGTCCATAAGAATTTTAACATATCGCCAACTTTACAGGTTATTAATCTCTTTTTTTTTTTTTTTTTTTTTTTTTTTTTAGTTACTGTATTTCTGCTAATGGCTAGGCATTTTTCTAAGCACTATGTTGGGCTGGACAAAATTGAGATAAACAAATAGAGAAAAGTCAAATATAATTAGTAATAATTTAAAAGCATCTTACCATAATGTAGAGCTGTTTGACCTTCATTGTCCTATAAAAGAAACAAACAGCATATTTTAGAACCTAAGTTATTGCAAAAGTATGAAGGTACATAGGCTACAGCAAATATATATGATATACCAAAGTTCCATAGGTTTAACAGATACAGGAAAGGAAGTCAGTTCTCTGAGCCTCACAGTAACTTTTTTGTTTGTTTGTTTGTTTTTGCGGTACGCGGGCCTCTCACTGTTGTGGCCTCTCCTGTCGCGGAGCATAGGCTCCGGACGCGTAGGCTCAGCGGCCATGGCTCACGGGCCCAGCCGCTCCATGGCATGTGGTATCCTCCCGGACTGGGGCACGAACCCGTGTCCCCTGCATCGGCAGGTGGACTCTCAACCACTGCGCCACCAGGGAACCCTCACAGTAACTTTTGACCAAACTCTCCATCTAGGAGAAAAGGAGAATGTTGAATGGTGACTTGTACACTGCAGCAGCTACAGTTAGAGTGACAGGATGACCAGATCTGCAGTTAGTGGCAGAAAAATGGACTCTGTATATCACTTATTTTGCTAGTATTATAGTGTTTTTTTCCTAAGCACATTCCCAAAATCTATCTAAGAAGTCTGTGATTTACAGTAAGAGTTAGTAGCTTTTTAATCCCTTTTCAAAGATTCACTGATTCCAGGCTTGTAACACTATGTTTCCCAATCATATCAAATATCATAAAGAAATGTGATCTCAAGGCACACAGAGTCCTACAAGTTGTTAAAGTCAAAAGTTCCCACATATACTCAGGAAACTCCAACTGTTCAGTTAATTTTTTTATTCCTTTAAAACCAAGATACTCTATATAAACTAGTTATAGCACAGATAAGTCTTTTTTAGCAATGCTATTTCTTTCTTTTAACTTAATTTTTATTTTATATTGGAGTATAGTTGATTTACAATGTTGTTAGTTTCAGGTGTACCGTGAAGTGATTCAGTCATACGTATACCTATATCTATTGTTTTTCAGATTCTTTTCCCATATAGGTTATTACAGAATATTGAGTAGAGTTCTCTGTGCTATACAGCAGGTCCTTGTTGGTTATCTATTTTATATATAGTAGTGTGTCTATGTTAATCTCAAATTCCTAATTTATCCCTCCCCCTGCCTCTCCCCTTCAGTAAACATAAGTTTTTGAAATCTGAGTCTGTTCTGTTTTGTAAATAAGTTCATTTGTATCATTGTTTTGGATTCTACATATAAGTTATAACATATGATATTTGTCTTTCTCTGACTTCATTTAGTATGATAATCTCTAGGTCCATCTATTTTGTTGCAAATGGCATTATTTCATTCATTTTTTTATGGTTAATATTCCATTGTATATATGTACTACATCTTCTATATCCATTCCTCTGTCGATGTACACTTAGATTGCTTCTATGTCTTGGCTACTGTAAACAGCGCTGCAATGAACACTGGGGTGCGTGTATCCTTTCAAACCATGGTTTTCTCCAGATATATGCTCAGCACTGGGATTGCTGGATCATATGGTAGTTCTGTTCTTAGTTTTTTAAGGAACCTCCACACTGTTCTCCATAGTGGTTGAACCAGTTTACATTCCCACCAAAAGTGTAGGAGGGGTCCCCTTTTCTCCACACCCTCTCCAGCATTTATTGTTTGTAGACTTTTTGATGATGGCCATTCTGACTGGTGTGAGGTGATTCCTCACTGTAGTTTTGATTTGCATTTCTCTAATGATTAGCCATGTTGAGCATCTTTTCATGTGCTTTTTGGCCATCTGTATGTCTTTCTTTAGAGAAATGTCTATTTAGATCTTCTGCCCACTTTTTGGTTGGTTTTGTTTTTGTTTTTTGATATTGAGCTGAATGAGCTGTTTGTAAATTTTAGAGATTAATCCTTGGTCAGTTGCTTTGTTTGCAAATATTTTCTCCCATTCTGTGGGTTGTCTTTTCATTTTGATTATGGCTTTCTTTGCTGTGCAGAAACTTTTAAGTTTAATTAGGTCCCATTTGTCTTTGTTTTTATTTTCATTACTCTAGGAGATGGATCCAAAAAGATATTGCTGCAGCTTATGTCAGAGTGTTCTGCCTACGTTTTCTTCTAAGAGTTTTATAGTATCCGGTCTTACATTTAGGTCTTTAATCCATCTTGAGTTTATTTTTGTGTATGGTGTTAGGGAGTGTTTTAATTTCATTCTTTTACATGTAGCTGTCCAGTTTTCCCAGCACCATTTATTGAAGAGATTGTCTTTTCTCCATTGTATATTCTTTCCTCCTTTGTCATAGATTAATTGACCACAGCTGTGTGGGTTTATTTCTGGGCTTTCTATCCTGTTCCACTGATCTATATTTCTGTTTTTGTGCCAGTACCATACTGTTTTGATTACTGTAGCTTTGTAGTACAGTCTGAAGTCAGGGAGCCTGATTCCTCCAGCTCTGTTTTTCTTTCTCAGGATTGCTTTGGCTATTCAGGGTCTTTTGTGTTTCCGTACAAATTTAAAACTTTTTTGTTCTAGTTCTGTGGAAAATGCTATTGGTAATTTGATAGGGATTGCACTGAATCTGTAGATTGCCTTGGGTAGTATAGTCATTTTCACAGTGTTGATTCTTCCAATCCAAGAACATGGTATATCTTTCCATCTGAGCAATGAAATTTCTTAAGCTGTGAGCAGGTGATCACATTACATGAGCAACACATAATCAGGATTAAGTACAGGTGAAAAGTAGAATTTAGTAGTTTAGTTGATATGCATTTAGAATGTGCATGGCCATTATTAAGCCCCTGGTAATTAAGAATAAATGATTAACCATTATCATGAATAACTGAGACAGGGTGGTATTATGATTTAAGTCAACTACTCTTGGACAAGCCATATCTACCTTTCTGGTTTCCTAAAAGCTGAATGTGGCAGTTGGTTCCCAGAAGGTTTTGGGTGTGGTTCTTTCTATTTAATCTCCTAAGAAGAAAAGCACAAAGCTGCCACAGAGAGCTTATTTTCTGGTTCAGATATGTAGTAAGAAAAAAGTCATGCCTTAAGGGCTTTTTAACACGTAGAGAAGCTTGGCAGGGATAACAGCTGGTGGGGGTAGAGAAACAACTTTGAGGCAATACAGTTTAATTAAACTGTTTCCTACCAGGGAATAAGAGTTCTCATTGGACTTGGAGGTGAGGGGTGGGTGGGTGGGAGGAGATATGAAAAAAGTAATTTTGAGGAACCCTGTGAGTAGGGTAGACTCGTCTGAGGTGCAAACAGTGGCTACTTTTGGGATGCCCATTAAACATCATAAGGATAATAATAAACTCTAAGGGGAGTAAAAGATGGAAAGCAGCATCAAGAAGTCAGGAAGAGAGAATTTTTGTCTACTACTTTTTTGTGTTTTTCAGTACAGCCCCTACTTTCCTCCCAGCTCCTCTCTGCCTTGCCCTGCCCTTGAGGTTAAGGGCAGGTAGGAGAAGAGAGCTGAGGCAGCTACAGTAAACAGGATTGAAGAGATGATTATGTGGGGCGGCACAACAGTGTGAAGTTGTACTCCAGAGTATATGGACTTGCCTTGCCTGACTATGGCCAAGGGCAGTTTTGAAAGAATTGCACTGCCCATTATGGCTTTAGACTCATATCTGCCTTGCTAGTTTACAGAGTTAATCTGTAAAAGTGTGTGTGTGTTTGTGTGTGTGTATGGGTACACACATCTGATGGGTTTATACATTCATATTTATAGCTTAAATGCCCGGCATCAGAAAGCAGTTTCAGAAAGAGTTTAATCTATTGCGGTTTCAGGACTCTAACTCATGCATCCATCATGCAAGGTTATATTTTCCACAATTATCCTCTTTAGAAACTAGTTCTCTTGCTATTTGTGCATAACTTTCTTGTTTAATCACTGTGTTCATATATACTCAAAGTTCAGTTTCATTCTATTTGTAATTGCTTATCTTCACTAGAGAGGTGGAAGCATAATTAATTTATTTTAGTCACTTTTACCAATGAATACTAAATCTCTATCTCCACCCCAACTTCCAACTGATTAATTAATTAAAAATGTTTATTAAGCTCCTACTATGGCCCAGGCACTGTTCTAGGTACTGGGAACAAAGAGGTGACAAAAAAAGAGAAGGTCTTTCATGTTATAAATCTTACATTCTAGTGATAGGTGAAGTAGTAAGCAAATAAATCTATAATAGGTAGTGATACGTGCTCTGAAAAAAAAAAAAGGCATAATAGAGTCTAGCGTGATGTGGGATGCTATTTTATTTTTATTTTTTGTTTTGTTTTTCGCAGTACGCAGGCCTCTCACTTTTGTGGCCTCTCCCGTTGCGGAGCACAGCCTCCAGACATGCAGGCTCAGCGGCCATGGCTCACGGGCCCAGCCGCTCCGCGGCATGTGGGATCTTCCCAGACTGAGGCACTAACCCGTGTCCCCTGCATTGGCCACCAGGGAAGCCCTGGGATGCTATTTTAAATAGAAAGAACAAGGAAGAGCTTTATGAGAAGATATGTACACACAGACAATTGAGGAAGAGTCTAGGGTAGCCATGGAACACAAGCTGAGCAAATCATAGCATCCATCATCCTCCTGGTCTAAAAGTAAGCAAGTCACTCAAGCCAAATCAATTAGAGTTTTCTCTCAGGATTTAAAAAAATGGAGCTAGGAGATAGAAGTGTGTATGCAGAGAAGGTCTTTTGCTCTCTGGTCAAAAGAAAATGGTGTAGTGAATAAAGACAGATACAAAAAGATAAATATTGTAGCATCCCACTTATATATGAAGTGCTTAGAGTAGTCAAATTCAGAGAAACAGAAATAGAATAGTGGTTACCAGGGGCTGGAGGGAGGGAGGAATGGGGAATTATTGTTCAGTGGGTACAGAGTTTCAGTATGGGATGATGAAAACATTCTGGAGATGGGTAGTGGTGATGGTTGCACACAATGTGAATGTACTTAATGTCACTGACCTGTGTACCTAAAAATGCTTAGTTAATTTTCTCACGTATAAACACAATTTTTTAAAAAAGAAAAAAAAGTAAAAGATGTGGGCCAAAAACT